GTCACGTGGTAGTCCTGTTGGTGGTCAGCCTCCAGGGTCCCATGTTTGTCCGTGTGCGCGTCCTGAGGAGGACATGGGTGACTGATTTCCTAATCGGTTTTGTTTTTATTTGTTTTATTTGATTAATTTTTGGTATGTGATTCGTTGTGGTGGTTAGGCTATGGTAACGCCATGATATATTTGCCTCGCTTTTGTTACTTCTGAAAGGATTGTTATTGTTTTTAACTTTTGTTCACGCTAAAGGGAAAAATCTCACTGAATTGCAGGCAGATCTCCCTGGCTCAATCATTACTTGATGAAATGAAAGGTAGAATTGTGTTTTCTCTGATGGATACATTTGTAGATTGACAGGCAGATTTGTTGGTCGATCGGATGATGGAGGGAGCATGAAGAAACGGTACGCGACACAAAACGCATCTCAGGCGTTGAAACAAAAGTGGGCACAACGATTTAGAGTATTGCCTTACAAAGAACGACACGACACAACGGTAACGAAAACTGCGTGAGTTGATTAGTCAACCGGTTCACTTTTTGTGAAGTGTGTGACAGTACAGGTGAACTCGAGGAGGACAACTGCAAGAAGAAACCTATTGAGCTTGTTGGAGCCCGGCCACTTATTTGGGACCCCTAAGACCCACACTACCATAACAAAGAACAACGAAAACAAGTTTGGGAAATTACAACCCACGGGTTCTAGATACCGCAGCACTAGTGTTTTGAGTTCCACAATTACGAACACATTTCTGCGCAGATTTTACTGAAAAACGTTGATCAAAGACCAAAAAAATAGGAAATATGCCGTTTTCAAGTACACTAAAGCTTTGGAAATCACCAAACTTTGGTGGACATTTTCTCACTAATTTTACCTCTGACACCAGATGACCCCCACCTTATTCAATCACAAATATCTCGACTCCTATTCAAGATGGAAGGGTATTTTTTTCAGCAAAAGCAAGGCAAATGAACAGGCTTTAAGATGATACCAATAACTCTATATGCCCCAAAATTGACGAGCACCTGAATTCACCCCATTGTGACACATGTTTGTATCGACAGAGTTATGAAAGATACTATCTTTCTTTTTTTTGTTGATAACTCACCACAGTATGATATTTCTTCTCTTTGTCTGTCCAAAGCACAAGCAAGTCAGCCAGAGTTACATTCCCGTAGTCAGAAAATCCTACCGCAAACCATGACCTGTCTGTTGCCTGGTAACGGGAAGGTACAAAAAGAAAAATATTATTATGAAGTGGTAAATAAGGGAGTATGAGTATTGCCAAAACAATTCTGAAAGGAAGCGTACAAGGAAAGAGAAAGAGAGGAATGCAGAGAAGGAGATGGGAGGAAAACACTAAAGAGTGGACAGGAAAGACGATGGGTGAGAATCTGAGGAAAGCAGAGGACTAAAATAGATAGCGAGAGCTGGTTTTCAGATGCTGT